ATTCTATATTAGGACGATTCTGAAAGAATAATTGCTCTTTTCCTCAATATTGATCAGCTTCATTTTGCATTATGAGTTTTAGTTAACCAGTTATGCTAACTATATCATTATTTCATAGAGAGTCTATAACCTCAAATCTTGTGATTTTCTCTAAATATGGTGGAGCGTTGGAGCACTGGACTCATATTCAATCCACCGCATGCGATCTACTATAGTTACGTTCCAGTACGTCTTGTATACAATCACTTATAGGCGGCCTACCAGTCCCCCATCAGGCAGATGTGTACGGGTGTTTTGTGTCCTACAAAGCCGTTATCAAAACGAGGCACATTTATGTTGGCGGACAAAACAGATACACATGGGGACACGGGACACGGGACACGGGACATGAATGACAATGTGAATACATAATAACATCTAAGTCGACAATACTTCACTTATAATACTGTAGCCATTTGCCAGGGATCATTTCTGTCCATTGGTGTCTTCGACGTTGTGCAAATAAAGACTACACCCTTTATGGTTGCCGATGTGACAGTTCAGCAGTGGTCATGGAATTACTGTGGCTCTATTTGTTTAGTATACACATGGATGTAGCTTAACCCACCATCGGTGATACTTAATATACACGTCGACTTCAATCACCACTTCAGTTATCATTGAGTCCTCATTAATTTGTTCCCCAAGTTATAACTTGGGGAATGGTATGGTTTGTGTAGCTGTTGGATTGATAGCGTCAATACTGGCTCTTAAACTGGAAGGGCATTGACGATTTGAACAGCTTGTTGTTTCAGCTGGTAGTAATAAGCCACAAGAGCACCGGGAACTCTTCCGGAGTTCACAATGACCTCCAATTTATAAACCGTACCGTCGAACAGCATCTTTGTATGCTTTGATTGCCTATATCTCATCTTGATGAAGCATGCGTATTGAACGAGTACGATCACATTGACAATGGCCAGCCAAAAGTTTGTGATGAGGTAGTACAGGATCAACGGAGATGCCAACAGGAGTTGTATAAGAATATAAATCTCACAGTTCGTCGCGATGATCAGAGATTGCTCGTTGTAAGTTGATATAAAGTGTTGGATCACCGCTGAATAATGATCCTTTGTGTGGGACGAAAGGCTTGGTAAGATCGGCAATATGTAGTTCTTTGTATAGTTTGCCGCATGGAAGGTTGAGAATATGATGAATGGATATAGCCCTCCGCTGATGACCTTGTAGTGGGAGACAAAGTACCAAACTACCGCCAGCCCCAAGTATTGGAAGTTGTCGTTTGACATCAAGAACCGAACGTTAAATATGCTGGTCTTTGAGGATCTCACCACTTGGAATAGCACAATTGAGTACGTCGTGACTATTGATAAGAGCGCATAGTTATAGTACTTTTTTGAAGTTCTAGCCGAAAAGATGGCAAAGAACTGATACAACACCGTATTCACAACTGTAGATACATGTCCCAGATACCAGAAAAACTGTGAGGTCTATGATTTGATCCAAGGGTTAGTAACGACGTCATGATGAATGCCATCCCATATCGTAGGCTCATACACATGCTTCCTCCTCCTCCTTGAGAATCCTTTATCAGTTAAAACTGATTGCCGTTGGTAGGAAGAAGCGCAAAAAAGCAAAAAAAAGACCGTTACTTACTTTCAATTTCGGCTTTAGCAGTTCGACAAATCTCGAAACAGAGATTGCTTCTTGAGGTGTAGATCCCATGTGTACTGGTGTTCTCAGCGTTACAAGTCGGAAGAACTAAAAGGAATTGGGGAAAACGCCTCTTTTAAACCGATTTCATCAAGTCCCCAATTACGTACAATGTTTGTTGGCGAAATTTCGAATTTTTCATCTGCGCTGGCAAAGATAAAAAAAGCCGACCGATAGCCCGGAAAAATGCAGCACATCCATTTTGAAATGTCGACGGTTCTGAACAGCCCATTGGGGTTCAAAACCTCTCTGCTATCCTCGTACCAGTGACTCCAGTGCCCTGCTGGCTGTTCTTATCCACGACGAACATTGCTGCGTGGCCAATTCCTTTGTGCTGTGTCCTGGGCTGCGGCCAAGAGACCGAAGCTCACTCGTCCGGTATACATATATAAGGGCAAATACACCGCGATGCCCCAATTAGGAACTCTAGCTTGCGTTGCTGTGGCAACCAATCAACCTCTTTTCGTGTCACAACCTCACCCGTGCGACTTACCGAATTGGGATCTTAGCCTGTGTTTATTTTGGTTTTGCTCTTGTTTTTTCGCGCTTTTTGCAAGCTTCTGAGGGTTGGGAGCACAAGAAGAGAACAGAGAAAAAAATTGCACCAAAAACATAAACACAACCTCCTCCTACAAGCTTACAACATAAATCGAAGAACGCAATGAGAGAAATTGTACGTTTGAAAGCCATAGCGATATCGAATTTTGTGTGTGTCGATGGACGAAGTGACGACGAGCCCTCACGCGCCTGTCGTGAGGCAAAGATCTGGCCGTTTCTCGAAGTTGTTTCATGAAACATCAAGAGATCTGGCGCGTGTTGTTTACAACATTCCCATTATGATCAGTAACAAAAAACACGCAGCGAGGGCGCAATATACAACGGCGGCAGCGCAACGACGGGGGCGAATACACAGACATTCGATAGAGCACACGTTCTGGGACGGCCGAGTACTAACAGATGTTTAGATTCATTTATCAGCTGGTCAGTGTGGTAACCAAATCGTACGTATACGCCTTTCCATGGCCTTTGTTTACATTTTTTTGTGTGGTTCTGTGATGGCAAAGGCGAGGACCAATTTGGCGGTGGTCAGTGGAAGTTATGGCTGGCGCCAGAGCAGGGCCCAATGACAAGAGCGCGGATGACTAACAGTGATATATTATAGGGTGCTGCCTTCTGGGAAACTATCTGTGGTGAGCATGGATTGGACAACAATGGTAACTACCATGGTACCGAGGAGATCCAGAGGGCCAAGTTGAACGTTTATTTCAACGAGGCCTCCTCCGGTAAATATGTGCCACGTTCCGTTAACGTTGATTTGGAGCCAGGTACCATTGACGCCGTGAAGAACTCCAACATTGGTAACTTGTTCAGACCGGATAACTTCATCTTTGGTCAGTCCTCCGCAGGTAACGTCTGGGCAAAGGGTCACTACACTGAAGGTGCCGAGTTGGTGGACTCTGTGATGGACGTTGTTAGAAGAGAGGCAGAGGGTTGTGACTCCTTACAAGGTTTCCAAATCACCCACTCTCTCGGTGGTGGTACCGGGTCTGGTATGGGTACCCTTTTAATCTCCAAGATTAGAGAGGAGTTCCCAGATAGAATGATGGCTACATTCTCTATTGTTCCATCTCCAAAGACGTCAGACACCGTTGTCGAGCCATATAATGCCACCTTGTCCATTCACCAGTTGGTTGAGAACTCGGATGAAACTTTCTGTATCGACAACGAGGCCTTGTACGATATCTGTTTGAAGACTTTGAAGTTGAACCAACCATCGTATAACGAGTTGAACCATTTGGTCAGTTCTGTGATGTCCGGTGTTACTACGTCTTTACGTTACCCAGGTCAGTTGAACTCCGATTTGAGAAAATTGGCTGTCAACTTGGTTCCATTCCCAAGATTGCACTTCTTCATGGTTGGTTATGCCCCATTGACATCTTTGGGTTCGAAGGAGTTCAGATCCTTGACTGTTCCAGAATTGACACAGCAGATGTTTGATGCTAGAAATATGATGGCTGCTTCTGACCCAAGAAACGGTAGATACTTGACCGTTGCTGCTTTCTTCAGAGGTAAAGTGTCCGTGAAGGAAGTGGAAGATGAGATGTACAAAGTTCAAACCAAGAACTCTGCTTACTTTGTCGAATGGATTCCAAACAATGTCCAAAGTGCTGTCTGTTCTGTCGCTCCAAAGGACTTGGATATGGCTGCTACTTTCATCGGTAACTCAACGTCCATCCAGGAGTTGTTCAAGAGAGTGGGTGACCAGTTCTCTGCCATGTTCAGAAAGAAGGCTTTCTTGCACTGGTACACATCTGAAGGTATGGATGAGATGGAGTTCACCGAGGCTGAGTCCAATATGAACGATTTGGTCTCAGAGTACCAGCAATACCAAGACGCCACTGTGGATGATGACGAGGAGCTGGATTACGCTGACGAGCAATCTCTTGACGAAGTTCTGGAATAAGCTTAAGAAGCTTACTTCTTCAAGTCCTTTCCGATACCCAGACTCACAGCCAGATAATTCAACCCTCCATCACTTTCCTCCTCCGTACCTTTAATGTCCACGTACTGTGCAACCATGCCCTCCTCTCTTGCCCACTCCCACCATACCCAACACGTATCCCAGCTGAACCCACTGGTCGTTTTTCTTCCTCGCGTAAAGTACCATCATGTTCTCTCGGTCTAACTACATCGTTCCAGCCCTGTCCTCTACATTTTTATTGCTTTGTTCCCATTGTGTTTAGTTATATAACCCTTTCCTCTTCTTCTGACCAACCATCGAGGATATCAAAGGAAGAACTGTTTACTGTTCTCTACACGGTTTCTGTAGAAGGACCGACACCCAGAGAGAAGTCGGTTATAAATCCCAATGTAGCACATGCAGTTGTCATCGCTCATCACGCCGGCACCGGGTTTGTTGTCGCGAGCTACAACTCACCTTGAGGGCATTAGCCGTGTGATACTGAAGGACTTCAAGCGCTAAAAACATTGCACACTGTGGTTTAAGGCACCAAGTAGCTCGTAAATTTGCATACAAGAAGCAGAAAAAACACGAGGAACCAAATCCGGCGTCGACTTGGAACTTGAAGGAGTATAAAAGCCGGCCATTTCACACTTCTCCTGCTACTTGTTTCGTTTGCTGAGCTCCACTCGCTACTTGTGCCATGTCATCTTCACCGCTGTTGGAGGCGGATGTTGATGCTCTGAACGACCCGACCTTTGATGCTTCTGGTCTTGCTGCGAAGGATGCGCTTGAGCATACTGCTGACGTGATTTATCACGAGCCAGTTGAAGGATACGGCTCCATTGAGCAGGGGAGTTCAGTGGAGGAAGGTGAGGTTGCGAGACAGACAGAGGAGCAGTCGCAGAGCCACCCTGAGCTGACACACAGACAGGTAATCGTTATCATCAGCTCCTTATACATTGGCAGCTTCCTCTCTGCGCTGGACACCACCGTGGTCACCACCCTTTTATCCACCATTGCGTCTGATATCAACGCTGTGTCGAAGATGTCGTGGATTGCCACGTCGTATCTGCTGTCCTGCTCAGCGTTCCAGCCGCTGTATGGGAAAGTCAGTGATATCTTTGGAAGAAAGCCCTTGTTGGTGTTCTCAAACGTGATGTTTGCACTTGGATGTCTGATCTCTGGCTATAACCATAACCTGGTTGGGTTGTCCATTGGGAGGTTTATAACTGGCATAGGAGGCGGCGGCTTGACGTCTCTGAGTGTTATCACAACGAGCGACTTGGTTCCACTACGTAAAAGAGGCGTTTACCAGGGCTTTGGTAACATAGCATTCGGGCTTGGTGCTTCTACCGGTGGTATATGGGGCGCGTTATTCCAAAGGTATCTTGGATGGGAATGGGCGTTTTACAGCCAAGTGCCAATATCGCTCTTCTGTATGGCGATGCTGTTAAAGAACTTCCACCTACCACCAGGTGCTGCTGGGTTGGGCTTCGAAGGTAGCAAAAGGGAGAAGTTGAAACACGTCGACTTTACCGGCGCCTTTTTACTTGTTACGACTCTTTTGTCGTTTATGATTCTGGTTTCCTTTACCGGCCATGAACTTCGTGCTGGTAGCTTGACCTTTTGGCTTCTCATTCTGTGCATGGTTGTATGCTGTTCTCTATTCGTATACGTTGAGCTTTACGTTGCCGAGCACCCAGTTATCCCAGTGCATCTGTTGACGTTTAGAACCGTTCTAGCGTCAAGTTTGGTGAACTGGTTCATGTCAATGGCCGTCTTCACGTACCTCTTCTACGTTCCAGTGTTCTGGTCGTCAGTCAGTGGGCTATCGCCTACACAGATTGGATTAAGAACGATATCGAATTTCGTTGGTGTTTCGATGGGATCTTACCTTTCCGGGTTGTATATGAAACGTACAGGGAAATACCTGTACTTTTCGATCATATCCAACCTTGTTACGATCCTCGGTATCCTGATGCTCTATCTGAATGGTCGTGATACGCCGTACTGGTTCCAGTACGTTGAGCTGTTCATTCCTGGGGCTGGCTATGCTGCGATCTTAACCGTTACACTATTGGCATTGATTGCGTCTGTTTCGCTGAAGGACCAAGCAGCAACCACGTCGATCCAGTATGCGTTTAGAGCCACAGGGTCCACGATTGGTGTCTCGATCTCGAGTTTCATCTTCCAACGGTCTCTTGTCAGATCGCTTGAGTCGTTGTACGACGTTGACCAAGACGAATACACCAGGGACCAAATCGCACGGATCATTACCAAGGCCGCCAATTCTTCGTCCTACATCCTACAGGCCCCCAAGATCTTCAAAGAGCTCATTAGAGATTCGTATGATATCAGCTCGCACTCAGCTCTGCTATTCTCTGTGGCAACGGTGGTTCTGGCGTGGGTTTCCGGCTTGTTCATGCAAGAGCACCATCTCCACACCACAGTTGATCGTAGATGATTCGTTGGATCATTACGATCTACTGCTCAGGTGCACTGGTTGCTTCCAGAAGGCTTTCAGAAGGCTTCCAGAAGGCTTCCTGAAAGTTTCCATTGGAGATACACATCCGTGGTGACTGATTGGAGTTGTCCACATAGGGTCACACCGACCGTGTGCTGTGTTCGTTCAGGCCGTCTTATGGCGTACGTACAAAGCTGTGTGCTGTTGGTAGAGCAATGCACCACCGTGTAATGTGCCCAGTGCCTTGGAGTTCGGTTGATCGAATATGCTCAGTACTGGTGCTGGCGTTATTGGAACTTGTCCCATCCACTACATATGGTATATTTCTGGAGAATACATG